AATCTACAGCCTACTGCTGCCTATCAAGTGTTAGAACAAACAAAATGGATTAAATACTCCCACTAATCCGCATAAACAGCAGGCGGAAGTCCAAAACAGATAAAGCAAGCTTTAAAGTTTCAGTCAAACATACCGCCACTGCAGCAATGGGGTTGGTTATTCTCTCGATAGCCTCCAAACCTTCTCTTGAAAGACGAAGTTTCGTGTGACCAGGATCAGGTTCCACAATGGGAAAGCTGCGCATACAAAAAATGGCAAGAATAAGTAAAATTCCCCACAACTTGAAACCAAAAGGAAAACTCACTTCACATAAAGAAAACAATGAAACTCGGCGGTACAACGCCCTAAAGAAGGTCACTAAAACCACGATAGGGAACAGACAAAGAATAACAATACATCACAGAAAGTTGTTCACTACATGCATAAATCATTAATAACAACAACAAACGAATCCCATACTCCAAACAGATATACGCACACAGTGAACGCTATCGTCGGCACAACTCTAATGCGAAAATAACACCGCACTAAATCTACACATATCAACACACATCTGAGGGAAAGCACAAATTCGAAAATGTTCTCTCTCTCGTTGTGGCCACAAGTCTGTAGTGTCTCTTTTGCCTATATTCGTGTTCTGAATTATTCAATAAGCCTACAAGTCAACGTACAATAAACATATCTCACACGTTACTGGCAAAAATCCATCCCATCACCCTTCCCGTTTGTGTGAAACAGTTTTAGCATTGCGGAAAACAATGCACGCGTATCGAGGATCTAAAAGGTGAAGAAAAGCAAAGTATTGAAGGCTCAGATCTCGGAAATAGGAAAGAGAGCTGAATAGAAGTTGAATACAGAAGAAAGCGAAAGAAATGGAGAATTTAGCAATACTCACGCTTGGTGGAAATTGTCAATGGAGAATGAGGGAATGGGAGAGAGGCAGAGGAAGAGCAGAAGCAGAAGCGGAAACGGAGAGTCCATAATGCAGAGAGAGAGAGAGAGAGAGAGAGAGAGAGAGGTGTCTCTTCGTGAGCCTCTATCTGCGGAATCTGAAGGAAGGTGAAGGAGAATGAAGTTGGAGGGTTGAAGCAATGGTATTATTCATGACCAAGGGAAGAATGTGTTGGAAAATTGGGATCTGAAGCAAGACCTGCTGAAGGGGGAACGTTTTCGTTCTCACCGGTAAAACGAAGACCGTGTAAAAGGAAAGGCCCAATCGGGGTTGCTATTCCCAAACTCATATATCTAAGTTCACACCCTATTTTTGTTAATATTCTTTCTCTACAAATTACCGGATTTATTCTGGTAATACGTTGACGTTTTTGAAGCGTATTAAATGACATGTTTACAAATTCGTATTTATTTTGGCAATACGTTTACGTTTTGAAACGTATTAAATGACATGTTGAGATATTTTATACTTTTATGATATGGACCTTCAAGAAGTAAGGCTGATCAAATTTGCCAAGTGTTATCCACATTAATTTTTGCAATTGATTTGGTCATGCTTATAAGAAACTTGAGACTTGTATAATTAATAAGTGATGTATTATAACAATGTTGAATTTGATTGTTTGAAAGGAACGAGTCCTTCATTTAAAAGAAAATTGTTTAACCTATAATACAATTACTTTCTATTGATTTATTTTAAATTAATGTAATAACGATTTTTCTCTTGACCCAACAATAATGGAAAATGTTTTTTTTTATGAAAATGTGACATAATAAAAGTAAAAATTGTGTAGTTAAATGATTGTATAGAAAATTATCATCTTTTTCCTACCAATTACTCCATTTGTCACTACAAAAATATGTAATTTTACCCGGGGTTTTTTCAATATTACTGACGGTTTTAACCCCCGCAAATCACATTTCACGTGGTTGGAAAACGCCCGTCGCCAAATAAGTACTGGCGGTTCTGAAAAAAACTGCCAGTATTAGCGGAAGTTTTGTGAAAACTGTCGGGAATATCGAGGGTTTTGTGAAAACCGTCGGGAATAGCGGGTTACTCAAAAATCGCCAGAATTAGCTGGGGTGATCTCAAAACCGCCCTTATTTTGCATGGTTTAGTTTACCGGGGTTTTAAAATCACCGAGAATTTATACAGTTCATTTTTTGTTGTTGTGATAAATTAGATTATGATAAAAATGGTTTTATTGACAAAACAAATAATAAATTAATATGAACTAAAATTGAATAATATTGTATAAAATAAACTAAATTGTTCAACCTAATATCATTCATACAACTAATTGTTCATACATAAAAATTAAAAAAAAAGATGTTCATTACATATGTTCAATATAGATGTTCAATACAAATGTTCAATACTAAAAGTATGACTCATAAAGATATTCAATAACAATATCTAATTTTCTTCTTCATTACATCCATTATTTGGTCCACTCCCTTGATCAGATACGTATAATATAACATAATAGTTAGTCGATAATATATTTAATAAAAAAATCATACAAATAAATTTAACAGTTATTACCGATGATCGTTGAAATACTACAAATTGTGAAGGCAATGGACCTTGATGATTTTGCAACAAAAGTGTCATCATTGCCTTCATTTCATTGACTTGTGATGTCAATGAAGATACCTATAACAAAAAAAATTATTTAAAAAGTGAGAAATATGATACCTAACATGTTAATCTTAAAAGGAACAAACCAAGTAAATATTTATTAAATATTCATTAACCTGAGATTCTAATTTAACCTTAGAAGAAGTCAATGAAGATACCTATAACAAAAAAATTTATTTAAAAAGTGAGAAATATGATACCTAACATGTTAATCTCATTAACCTGAGATTGTAATTCAACATTAGAAGAAGTAGATGAAGATGATCCAATATGAGAACGAGCATGGACTCCAAAGACTTTAGATGGGCAAGGACCCAAACCTAGACCGCGAACACGTCCACAATGCTCTTGGCTTCCTAAAACATGAGCCAATGAATCTAAACTTGATATTTCTTTTAATTGAGACGATGTTGTAGATTCATATGTTTGAATTTTTTCCTACATACAACGTAATCAATGATGCCAACATTAAAAACATTGCATTTGTATAAAGAGACAAACTATTGAGTTGGCAACAGTATACTTATATTTAAACTTAAGATGTGTGCAAAAACAGTAGCAAGAATTGTCAACCAATAATTATATCACTAAAGAGATACACCATGAATTGTCAACCAAGTCTGTAGCTAAGCTCACGGTTAACCACCTTAATCATGGTTACATCTAGAAATGCAAACAATGAAATAAGAGAACAAGTTTCTAATAAATAAACATTAAGAGAGAAAGAACATGGATCTACATTTTCTTAGATTATGGTGGAACATGGTTCACCTTTTAAAAAGTGAAACAGTTTTAGTAGTTGTGTCCAAATCAAAGTTAATTTGAGTGATTTTAATAATGGTGCTATAATGATGACAGGTTTACTTAAAACTACAAAGTTTTGAAAGTTCTAGGATGGGGAGTAATGCAAAAAAACTCATCAGCGTTCCTCAAGGCTGCAACAACCACATTGCTTCATAGAATAAGTGAATCTGAGAAGGCATCATATGTTGCAACATCATAAATGCCTTCCTATTGATTCTTCAACCAATGACCTATTTGAGATAGCAAAAGATGGTGTTCTTCTTTGGTACTATACTTTTATTTTTTATCTTCTTATGTTGCTCAATATAACTCAGATTTTCATCCTTTAATAAGAATTATATTTGTTGCAGTAAGCTGATTAATGTGGCTGTTTCACAGACCATTGATGAAAGGGCAATCAATACAAAAGGATTACTTAATCCATGGGAAAGGAATGAAAACCACATGTTTTTCCTGAACTTAGCTAAAGCAATTGGATGTACAGTAGTCAACATTGGAACTCAAGATCTCATTGAAGGAAGGGTATGTTTGAGTGCTATGTGGTCTCTACATTAAAGCCTTTCTATTTCTCAACAACTGGATCACTGTGATAATGAATCTCAGAATTAATTATTATATTAGACTTAGGATGTGCCTCTTGCAAGGTAGTGTTGCTAGGTTTCGTCATATTTAAGATATTTTATTTCACTGTCATAATCTAAGAAATTGTAGATCCATGTTATGCCTTTCTGTCCACATCACGAGCTCTAAGGTGGATTATAATTTTTTTTATTAGAGTTAGATCTTAATGTTCTTTCTCTCTTAATGTTTATAGTCCCACCATATATCTGAATTAAAAATATTTATAGTTCCACCATATATCAGAATTAAAAATATTTATAGTTCCACCATATATATGAATACAATCACATGATATGGGTAAAACAATCACAAAACAAAGATTGAACTTACACCAATTTTCCTTGCCTCATCACTGACAAAAGCTCCATTGGTCTTCTTATGAGTAGCTATCCAAACTTCTCTCTGCTAACTTTGTGCCCACACTCTTTTTCCTATGAAAATTAACAAATGCTTATTAGGTATGTCATAAATATTATCAGAAACAGAAAATTGAAGATAAATAACACTTCACCATTTCTTCCCTCTTCCTTGCAATGCTCTTGGATCCCCCTGTGTGAGCAAGAGTTTGTTTTGTCCTGTTGTGCTTATTTTTCAGGGCAATCTCCTAACATTGTGATAAAAAAAAGTTATTAAATCATAACAAAATTTTATGAAAAGAAATATAGGTTTCACTTTTGTTCTTTCATCAAGTCGATAGTCAACAAAAGAAGCCCAATAATCTCTATCTATGCCTTCTGAAGCCATGGCAATCAATTCATCTCTAGTACGCGTGCCATCATCTCTTTGTTGCCACAATTCTTGCCGACAATCTCTCCATTTATGATTAAGCGCTTTCAAGATGTAATTGATTTGAATATCGAAATTCACTACAAACTTTACCTTCAAAACAAATTTTAATAAAAAATTAACAACAATTACCCGATAAATAAATTTTGGATGACTTCTTTGTAATGGTATTTTGAATTTACATTACTTACTTGAATGGTATTTTGAATTATGTCTTCTTTGCAATTTTTAGGAATCTTCTTCCAAGTAGAATAACAAATAGGGAATACCTTTAAGTTTCTAGCGATACTTCCCAAGAATTGATTCAATAATGCGCCACCATCTCCAATTGGTTGATATTCCTCATTCCAATGTACAATAATCCTTTCATTTTGAGGCAAATTCCAAACATCATTTGTTTTTAAGTGTTTGGTAGTCATCTTACATTGGTCATCTGTGAAGAAAGAAAATTTGTGTCAAATACTCTTGTGTCAAACAACTTCAGCAGTAACTATTCATATAAGTAACATAATGAAAGCATTAATATGTTGAACTTGTGTCTTACCAATAACATCAACCAACCATGCTCCCTTGTGTGTTGGTGGCCTTTCTTGTTCAACTTCCAACTGAGTATCCTGATTTTCATCTTGTTCATGTTCATCTTGTACATGAGAATTTTCTCCTACTTGAGGTGGTGAATGAAGAGCATCTTCATTTGAGGGCTACACAAGGGATGATGAGAAAGCAAAAGAAATTATCATTATTGTTATTAAATTTCAACAAAAAAGTGAGTTAACTTAGTGAGTCACGTTTCTTTGAATTTCAGGCATTTTTATCATATGTACTTCTTCTAAAAGATTCTAATACAGAACTACTTCTAGTTTTTTATCATACAAAACCTTCTTGGATAATTCAAGAGTAATTCTCTAGCCATCTCACAAATGACAGAAGACTTTTAACATAATTGTCCTAACCTTTAAGGTCCAAATATCACTTTGTATAATACAAAAGATTTCTCAACGTGACTAGCAACAAATAATACATATAACACATCTAATGTACTTTTGAGAGATAAAAAAAATAAGATCACAGCAACCAATCCTCTTAACATACTTCATAACAGCACAATCAACAATTAGTTTGACCATTCCATATAAGTTATATCAAGCATATGTAACCAACCAGCATATGAGATAAAAACAGAAGCGCTTTAATATGAGTAAAACAGCCCAATAAAGTTACAAAACAACAATGTTTTAGTGCAGACACAACAGTCAGAACAGTCTAATACAACAAGGATTTTAATGCAGTAACACCAATCAAAACAGTCAGGATTTTACTACATAACAGCAGTCAAAACAGCCAGCAAAGATTTTAATGTGGCATATTTACAGTCCAATACAGAAAAATTTACTGGTATAAAACAGCAAGGAAATAATGCTGAAACATCCAACAACATTACATAAAACAGCAAACAATCACTACTAAAATTCTGATACAGCAATTGCCCACATTTCTAAAAGTTTTGCCTTCTCTTATTGGTATGACACTAAATTCCCTTGTTGTTGCTACTGATTAGAGATTCCACAATTTTTGTCTTTAAATAAAATTTTATGTTTATCTGTTTTTACTAATGTAATTGAAACACTTACATTAACTTGAACTGAAACTGCAACAAATGCATCTGGGGACGAATAGGTGCAGGAGTCCATGCTGATTGAAAAACAAATGCATTTTGGGACTGAATATGAGTAGGAGTGCATGTGCTTTGCCTTGTCGAAGGTAGCTTTAGTTTGTATGTTCCTACAAATAAATGAATGTAAAAAAATGATAACAACATGAATAAACAAGTATTAGACATTTAACAAAAGGGAACTTACTTCTTTGAGGGGCAGAAAGAGAGGGTAGGATTGCTTGAGGAGCTGTGGATGATTAGTTGTGTGACCCCATGTATGAGATGCACTTTTTGCTTGTATGATGGTTTTCTCTCCTTCTTCTTAAATGTCCATTTTCTTCATCTTCCAGTGGTCTACAAACAATTACATAAATAAAATTAAACCACCTATATAAGATATATAAAGAAGAAAAAATAAACAAATACTCAAATAACATTAAATTAAAAAAAAACCCTTGTTATGGTATATTTCTTTCATCATCGGGAAATAATTTGTCTAAGTTTTTGTTGTTGAATGGTTTCCATTCATGGAAACTTTGTCAACATCATCTTCACCCATGTTTACAAGTCTCTAGGCTTTATATTACAGGGAGGCACCATTTTTATCAACTCATCATCTACATAATATACATTTGTGCTTCTGATGTCTGAATGTATGGTTCATCATCATCATTATCACCGGTATGAATCATGCGTCCAAAACATACACTTGTAAATCTCAACTCATCAGTCACAATCCCCCTAGAAGTAGTTGTATTAGCCCACATACATTTGAAAAACACAACTGAGAAACGACCATGGTAGTTTATTTCAATTATGTCCACTAATCGACCATAATAAGGCACCACCTCCAAATTGCATTTGATTATCACTAGTACTTGCATAACTCCTGGTTCCAAATGTACCAAACACTCCACTATTTTGTGTTTTAAGCCATAAGTCACGCTCCAAGATCCTAAACTTGAATCCGTTAACATTGTAGGCACTATTCGCTTTTGCAATATCAAGTGGACGCCATGGGCTAGAATTTGAAATCAGTTGAGTGAAATCACTTAAACTTTGAGAACTAATCCAAAGGAAAATCATTTACAATCGACTTTTCCTCTTTATGGGAAAGTCAACTCACAATCCCTTAGATCAAGGGATTTATTCACGAGTAATTTCACAATTAAGCTACTTTTATTAGGATTTTGATTTTGTTTCACTTTTTATCTAATAAATCATATTATAAACTCTTGACAAACTACCAGTTACATTCCATTTCTTAACAACATTTGAAGAAGAACTTCAGATTTTAAGGAAAGAATATTTCGGATAGATTAAGAAATAGTCTACACACCGAACGAAATACCATATTTTAAAAAATGAGGACAAAGTGGAGTTTTTTGTATTACCACTGATATTTTTTAGCCAATAGTCTCCAAATTTGTAACACAGCTAATAGGACTCCCTGATATACAAGAAGTGAATACAAAAATGTTGTTATACAATTGATTATGAATTTTTAGATCATCAAAATAAATTAGAATATATACAAGAATACACTACTAAAAAGAATGAAATTGATCTCCCAACATAAGTTGTGCCAACAAAAAAATTCACAAAATATGAAAAGTTCTAATGTTGATTGAACAAAGCAAAGAATTAAAAAAATGAGTGAAGCTTTGATTAAGATTCAAGAACACCTAGCGGTGACATTAAATATGCATCATATGCAAATTGACTAATTCTAAATCTCCATTTTCTTATTCTTTTCCACCCTCTCTCCTTATTTACTGCTTTATAATATTAATTATTACAATTTAATATTCATCGTTACTTTCATTTTAGAAAAAAAAGTGATTTATATTAATTCCCATACTGTGTTTGGTAGAACCATCGTCCACCCCCCCCCCCCCCCCCCCCCCCCCCCCCCCCCAATCAAGGTCACAGGTCCGAAATTGGCCTGATTATGATCATATTTCTAAAACATACATTTTTTATTATAAAAAACACTTGTTTACACGGAACGAAAATAAATATTCAGGTAAATGCATAAACTTAAAATATATTTAAGTATAAAAATTATTATCCAATCTAACCTAAAGTAACCACCCAAAAGATTATACACTAAATAAGAAAAGACAATATAATGTGAAAAATGAAGCATTAAAGTATGTTGCAATTACAATTTTTAACTAACCAAAAACACTTGTCAATCACTTCTATGTAGCTTAACTGCACATATTGTATGATGATTAAT